GTAGAATTACCGTGTAATCCAGCAATTCCACATCTGGGTGCATATGCAAAAGAAAGCAGGACTCAAAGAGATATTTGCACACCCATGTTCAGAGCAGTATTATTCACAGTAACGGAGAAGTGGAAGCAATTCAAGCGATGGATGAATGGTCAACAAAATATGGTGTATCCTACAATGGAATACTATTCAACTCTAAAATGGAATGAAATTGATACACGCTACACCACGGATGAACCTTGAAAACATTACGTTAATTGAAATAAGCCAGTCACAAAATTACAGATATTTTATGAATGAGGGGTTAAATGTTTAACGGGAACAATTTCTTGTACTTAAAGCCACTGAATCGCACATCCAAAAAAGGTTAAAATGGTTAATTTTATGGCGTGTACATTTTTTCTAAAAGATTTTATTTATTTATTTGACAGAGAGAGACACAGTGAGAGAGGGAACACAAGCAGGGGGAGTGGGAGAGGGAGAAGCAGGCTTCCTGCGGAGCAGGGAGCCCAATGCGGGGCTCGATCCCAGGACCCCGGGATCATGACCTGAGCCGAAGGCAGACACCCAACGACTGAGCCACCCAGGCGCCCTATGGAATGTACATTTTACCGCAATTTAAAAACACACACTTGGGGCGCCTGGGTGGCTCAGTCGGTTAAGCGGCTGCCTTCGGCTCAGGTCATGATCCTGCGGTCCTGGGATCGAGCCCCACGTCCGGCTCCCTGCTCAGCGGAGAGCCTGCTTCTCCCTCTCCCTCTGCCTGCCACTCTGCCTACTTGTGCTCTCTATCTCTCTGTCAAATAAATAAATAAAATCTTTAAAAAAATAAAATAAAAATAAAAATAAAAACACACACGGAGCGCCTACTGTGTGCTGTGCTCTAGGATCTGAGGATTTAGCCATGAGCAAAGCACAGGAATCCCTGCCTCCGGGGAGTGGACATAAACCAGATAAATACTAATAAGTGGGTTTTATGATATGTTGGGAGGTGGTAAGTGGTAGGGAGGGAAGAAGTTGGCCAGGTAAGGAGTAACTTGTTCTAGGCTCTATCCCCAGCACCCAGGATATTTGTTGCCTATGAGCAGCTGTGTATTTTTTTTTTTTTTAAGATTTTATTTATCTGACAGAGAGAGACACAGCAAGAGAGGGAACACAAGCAGGGGCAGTGGGAGAGGGAGAAGCAGGCTTCCCGCCGAGCAGGGGGCCCCATGTGGGGCTCGATCCCAGGACCCTGGAATCATGACCTGAGCCGAAGGCAGACGCTTAACGACTGAGCCACCCAGGCGCCCCCTATGAGCAGCTGTGTATTGAGGGCTTCCTCCTGTGGCCACAAGAAATCAACGTGCTTCACCCAGCTTCCACATCCCTGGCTTCGGGTGGGTTCTGCCAACGGGGAAGCCTGGCTAGAGACCAGAAGTGGGAGACCAAGGAGGGATATCTATTCCTCTACTCCCTCCCTGCTGGCTACAGTGTGGTGTGGGCAGTGGCTGTATCTCTGCGACCACATATTCTGCAAGGAGTGCCTTCTTCATGACTCCAGATCTCATTGAGTTCTGCTCATTCTGTTTCCTGTCCACGCGCCTGAGCCCTGGATGTGGTGCCTCCCTGTGGCAGGCAGAGTAACAGACCCCCAAAAATGCCCATGTAGGAACTAATCCCTGGAATTTGTGAATATGTTATGCTTCGTTAGGGAGATGCATAAAAAGGGAGAATTAAACTTGCAGATGGAGGGATGCCTGGGTGGCTGAGTCGCTTAAATGTCTGCCTTCGGCTCAGGTCATGATCCCAGGGTCCTGGGATGGAGTCCCACATGGGGCTCTTCACTCAGCGCAGAGCCTGCTTCTCCCTCTGCCCCTCCCCCTGCTCATGCGCGTGCTCTCTCTCTCTCTCTCTCTGACAAATAAATAAAAATCTTTTAAAAAATAAGTGTAAAATTGCAGATGGAAATTGAGGATGCTAATCAGTTGGTCTTAAGGTAAGAAGATTATCCCTTTTGGGCTCAAGGTAATCACAAGGATCTTTAAAAGTGGAAGGGTGGGGGGGACACCTGGGTGGCTCAGTCAGTTGAGTGACTGACTCGGTTTTGGTTCAGATCATGATCGTGAGATTGAGCCCTGTGTCAAGCTCACGCTTAGTGTGGAGTCCGCTTCAGATTCTCTCTGTCCCTCTCCCTCTGCCCCTCTTCCAGCTCTCTCTCTCAAATAAATAAAATTAAAAATCTTAATTTAAAAAAAAAGTGGAAGGGGGAGGCAGAAAAAGAAGTCAGAGTGATAGGATATGAGGGCCTATCTTCGCCGTCTTTGAAGATGGAGGAAGGGCCGGGAGCCAAGGAATGTGAGCAGCTTCTAGAAGCTGAGCAAGGCAAGGAAATGGATCCCACCCTGAGCTTCCAGAAGGATCACAGCTCTGCCAATGTCCTGACCTTAACCCAGCGAGACTAGTGTCAGGCTTCTGAGCTGCAGAATTGGAAGACAACAAATTTGTGTTGGGCGCCTGGGTGGCTCAGTCGTTCGGCGTCTGCCTTCGGCTCAGGTCATGATCTCAGGGTCCTGGGATCGAGCCCCGCATCGGGCTCCCTGCTCCGCGGGAAGCCTGCTTCTCCCTCTCCCACTCCCCTTGCTTGTGTTCCTTCTCTCACTATGTCTCTGTCAAATAAATAAATACAATCTTTAAAAAAAAAGTATTAAAAAATAAATAAATTTGTGTTGAAGGCACTAAGTTTGCCGTTATGTTACAGCAGCTGTAGAAAACGAATACACTCGACATAACATTTGTTGGTTCTCCAACCCGGCTCACATCCCTGACATCAATGCCTTCATTACGGTTTGTTCTCTGAAACCCTTTTGAGTTGAATTCTGTTTCTCACTTGAGACCCAGCAATCCTGCTTCTGGGAATTCTTCCTACAGGTAGGATGCCTGTGCTTATGGGAAATGGTGCACGAGGGTATTTCTTGCTTGTAAAGAGACTGGAAAACCCCCGAATGAAACCAACACCGAGATAGGCACACCGCAGAGCTTTCCACACAGGACAGAATGAGCAAGTGCTGATGGACTGATAAAGGGGGGTCTGCAGGTCATATTGCTCAGTGAAAAAAGCAAGATGCATTTCAGAATGTGGAACGTGTTATGTTTTAGGTAAAGGAGAGGAGGGGGATAAGAACACATTCAATTTAAAAAATAAAATAACACATTCAATTTTACAAAAGGAAACCTTGGAAGGAGTCAGAAGAAAGTGTGGGCAGTGGGTTCCCATGGGCTCCTGTGATTGGGGACGGGGAACCGCTTGGGTGGGGGATGAGCAGAGACAGAGCTAGTCCCCCCGAGTGTCTCTTAATAGCATTTGATGTTTTAAATCCTCTTAGGAGAGCCCACACTAGGGTGAGGGAGGTGAGGCATGAAAGCAGAGGGCGCCAAAAAGCTCAGTAACCAAGATAAATACTTTAATGCAATATTTTTTAAAAAGCACAATGTGGGGGGGGGGAACCACCCATGAACAAAATACTGAAATTTTAAGTAGAGAATCCATAACAGTGCTGAGTTATATTGGAGCCTGAGGCAAAAGGAAAAACCAGTAATATGGATTCCATCTTTGAAAGCTTTCACAGTAAATAATGAAGTTGCCAATCCTGGATGGATCCTGGACGGGCGAGGTTTACCCAGGGCCTTAAGATGCCTTCCTCCTCCCCAAGCCCTGCAGATCCTGCAGATCTGCGCCTGCCATTCCCACCGTAGAAAACCTTTAGGGGATGCCAGCCGGGGCTGCGGCTCACCACTGCCCCCTGGCGGCCGTCGGCCTGCACACAACAGCATCTAGGGCTCTCTGCTTTAGTAGAGGTTTACTGAGCACCCCCCCGAGGGCCCGAGTCCCTCCAAGGTACTGTAAGTACCTCAGGACCACGGAAGACTCAGTTTGAGCTCTGGTGGTGCTCACAGCACCAGGGAGAGGACAGCACACAGGTCGGCAAAGCTTGGCACATGGCTGGTGAGGCAAGCTGCCTGGTCGAGTGTTAGGGGCAACTCGGGTGGGCCAAGGAGGGCCCCGGGGAAGAGGTGGCACTGAGCTCTGGCCTGAGGGACAAGCAGCTGCCAGGGGTGGGGTCCCCCGGAAGGGGCAGGCAGAGGGCCTTGCTGCTCGGTTTCATCCTAAACTGATGTCCTTGTTCATCATACTATTCCTTAGGCCCTTTCCTGTGGCCCAATTATTACTTTTTAAAGGAGCCCCACAAGGGCTGCAGGGAGGGGTGTTCAGGGAGAGAGGCAGGCACACGCCAAGGCCCACATTTTGAGCATCTGAGTGCCAGGCGTCCTGCTTGCCTGTGGCATGATCTCATTCTAGCGCTACCCCCAGGAGAAAGGCACTAACGTTACTCATTGTGCAGTGGAGGGGGAGGTAATGTGGAGGCTGAATAAGTTGCCCAAGGTCACATTGATAAAGATAAATTTAAAGTGCTCAAGGACCCGCAAGGAGGGAGGGGGAGAGAGGGCGAGCAGAGGGGAGGATACGGAGACCGGGGCAGATGGTGCAGGCCTTTGTGAGCTGCCCAGAGCAAAGACTTTGGGCTTCTGCTCAGGGAGGGATGTGTCTTGACTCACGCGTTCATGACTGCCCTCTGGTTACTGCCTGTTGGGGTCCGATGGGGAAGGAGAAGGGGAATAGGCTGAGGCGGGCTGCAGGCCAGAGGGCACGGGGAAATGGACCAGGGGTGCAAAGGGCAGTGATCAGAGATGAAAGATGCTCCTGAATGGGCGGTGGCAGGGAGGCCTGGGGGACAAGCCAAGTGGAGGGGTGGGGCCGAGAACTCTGATGTAAAGGAATCCTGGGGAAGAATGTTCTAGGCAGTGGAACAGCACATGCAAGAGCCTAGAATCAGAATAGAGGGAGCTGCCCAGACAGCTGAAGGATAAAGCCTGAGGCATCAGAGGCCAGGCCTCCAACACTCACTGGGTTTCCCTCCCACTCCAAGAGAAGAGCTGTGTCAACAGCCCTCGAGACGCCCCCCTGAGCATCTGAAATCCTTTATTGGAAGATCATTGCTGTTTACCATATAGAAGACTCGACAGCAGATGAACAGTGAAAACAGAGCCCATAGTGACTGGAGCAGGCCTCTGGGCTGGAGACCCTCCCCCCACCCCATGGACCAGCCTAGCGACCTCCGCCCCTCCCTGGACCCCCAGGCCTTTGGCATAATGCTGATGGCAGGGGGGGGGGGGAGGCGGGGTAGCATCCTGCAGACAGTGAAGCCCCTTGACTCAAAGCAGAGACTTGGATGAGCACTGGAGGTGGGGGTAATGGGAGTGGGGACAGGCCTTCTCCCGGCCCCAGGCTGGGCGGGAGCAGCGAAAGTGGAGGAAACCAGGAGCTGGGGAGATGGCATCTATTTTTGTTTTCTGAAAAGGGGCACACAGGGGCCTGCAGGCAGGTGGGCAGCAGCTGGGGCGAGTCAGGCGCTGACATCCTTCTTGTCGCCTGGCTTGGGGCCGGCTTCCAGCAAGGGGTCCCCGGGGCCCGCCTCTTCCCCATCCTTGGCCTCGCTGGACTTGGAGTTGGGGACCCAGAGGCCGGAGTCGATGCAGCGTTGCATGTGGTACTTCGCATCCTGTGGGGAGAAGGGTGGTGAGGCCGGGCTGCCCCCCTGCCAGGTGGCCCGCCTATCCCCCTGCACGTCCTTAAGCCTGCTCACTGCTTATTCTAGACCAGAGCTGTCCAGAGCACTGTGCAATGATGGGAATGGTCTGTAATACGCATTGTCCAACACGGTAGCCACCAGCCACACGTGGCTGCCAAGTCCTTCAAACGTGGCTAGTGCAGGTGAAGACCAGAACCTTACGTTTCACTTAAGGTGAATTCAAGTTTAAATAGTGTACGTCCAGAATAAAGCTGCATTCCAGTAAAACTTTACTTTTAAAGACAGGCAGTGAGCTTGTGAACCACAGGGTGAAGACCCTTGGTCTAGATATCCTTTTTCATGGAAGCTTCTAGAAAGCCTGGCCCAGATCCTGCAACCAGTCCCATTTCACAGTGTGGCCAACCAGTGAGCCAAGCGGCAGGAATGGGGTCAAACCAAGGTCTATTAAGACACGAGGTCCTGTCTACCAGCACGATCACTGCTCCTAATATTAACAACAGTTAGGGACGCCTGGCTGGTGCAGTCAGTAGAGAACGGGACTCTTGATCTCGGGGTCATGAATTCAAGCCCCATGCCGAGCACAGCGCTTACTTTAAAATACATACGTACATACAACGGCAGCTAATGTTTACTGTGAGCTCAGACCCCCCCCACCCCACGCATGCTCCAAGTCAGTATCCAGAGAAACTGTGGTTTGATGGGGTAACCAAGGCCAGGGAGGAGCGCCCCTTCCTTGGACAAAGGTGGGGCCAACCTTGTGTGCCCACTAGGCTCATAAATGGCCCACAGGGGCGGTGACACTCCATGGCAGGGGACACGCTGAAAGTTCCGGGTTCACTGCTGGGTGTAGTCACATGGTAGGTGCTTGATACGTGTAAACCAGTGTATGGATGCAAAAGCCTCCCCTATTCCTCCCTGAAGCCCACAAGGGACGCTTCTCCCAGCCAAGTGGGGAGCAGGGCTGGAGGGGGGAGGACACATCGCTTGCTCAGGAGGCACAGCTCGGCTGGTGGGCGGGCCTGGGGCGCTGTTACTCACGGTGGGGTCCATCTTGCTGATGGCATCTTGGAGCATCTGCACGTCCTTCACGTCAAAGCATTTCTGGAGCTCCTGTGGGTGCAGATGGGCCGGGGGTCAGGGCCTGGGTCCCTGGGGGAGCCCCGCCTGCCACTGCCCACCCCACCGCCAGGGCAGGGGAGCCGCACCTCAGGGAGAGACTCATAGACTTCAACGGGGTCCAGGCCGCCTGGGCCCAGCCGCTTCTTGCGCTCTTCCTCCTCGTACTCTTTCATGGCCTTCTCGATGCGCAGCTTGGCGCGGCCCCGCACGCGCTCCTTGAACGCCTCGAGCTCATCGTTGAAGCCCTCCATGTACTGGCGGTCGGCTGTCTGGAGGGTTGGGGCCGAGAGCCGTTCACTGGGCCGGCCCCAGGACCGGCCCGCTGCAGGCCCGCAGACACTCTGTCGCCTCCGTGCTGACGGATCACCTGCCTGCCTGCCCGCCACCCCCCCCAAACCACAGACCGGCCACGCTCCCCTCCTCCACGTGGGCCTGCAGGCACCTCACACTCAACACGCCTCACTCGAGCTCTGGATCGCTCCGCACGGGCTGCCCTGCCCTCAGTCTCCCCGACCTCAGCACGGGTAGCTCTGTTCTTCCAGGTGCTCAGCTAAGGAACCCCGAGGTATCCTTGACTCTGTGCCTCACCCCTGTCTCTTAAATTCTGTCTGGGGGCCGACCACCGGCCCCTCCGCGTCTCTGCCCTCCCGACAGAGCAGGCTCTGATCCCACGGCCGTGAGTCTGAGTGGACATGTGTCCACCCCTCCTGTAGACTGAGGCTGGTGCCCTGGAGAGAGCCACACCCCACCCCACCCCGGCTCCTCAGGGATGCTACCTTGATCTTAGTGAAGAACTGCCGGAAGCAGGCCCGGGGATCCACCTTCAGGCTCTTGGCCAGCTCCAGGATGAACTGCATGACAATGGTCTGGTGGGCCACCTGCTCCATGAGTGCGCATTTCTGCCCAGAGAGAATATAGGCAGGATGTCACCAAGTGGCGGCCTCGGGGAAGGGCTCTTCCCCAGTCCCGGGGCAGGCTCCACTCACCTCCTCCACCTCTAGGTCAATGCACCAGATGACTAGGTAGTTGGCTGTCTCCTCACACACCAGATGGACATTGTCTGATAGATACTTCTGGCTGTCGTCCCAGCGGCGGAGCATGCCTACAGAGGTGTTGGCAAAGTGCTGAAGGGCCCCGGAGGCAGAGGGCCAGCCCCTGTCCTATGCATCGCCCCCGCCGTGGGCCCCCTCCAACCGGTGCCCAACTCACCGAAGTGCTTGATCTGTTTCTCGTACTTCTCCACAAAGGTTTTGTGTTTCTGCTCCCTCACCTCCTCCGACTCCTCCTCCGCCTGTTCTGGCTTGGTATTGACCATGCTCTGTGATGGGGCAAGAGGGGGAGTGGGCTGGGGCGAGGCCGCAGGGCGCGTCCAGCACGGCCGGCTGGGCCGAGGCCGCAGCGCCCATCCCTTCCACGGCGGAGGTGGTGACGGTGTCATGAGCATCAGTGTGGCGGGAGCGTGGGTGTGGCACATGTGGCCTCGGACTAGGGCCTTCGGGCAGATCAGAGGGGAGTACCAGTGGGGTGCTTCGTCCACCCGGCCCCACACACCTGTTCCTCCACCCCTTGACCTGAAGAGGCCTCCCCCCCCAGCCCTGCTCCTATCTCACCATCAAGCACCTCCCGCCCCTGCGTGAGGGGGACCCCCCCCCCACCTTGCTGAAGCCATCCTTGCTGAGCGTGTCCACATTCCAGGGCATGCTCTTCTCCTTCTTGCGCATCTCCTCCAGTTTCTGCTCCCAGCCCCGCTCCTCCTTGCGCAGCTGCTGAGCCTCGGCTCGCAGCCGCTCCAGCTCCAGGCTGCTGCCCTCGCCCTCGGCCACCTCCAGCTCCTTCAGCTTCCGCTGGCACTCAGCCACTTTGCGCCTGCACTCACGGCAGCCCCTGTCCAGCTCCTCCTTCTCCTTCTGGAACTGTTCCATGCGCTCCACCCGGGCCTGGGGGGGCAGACACAGCCCTTCAGCCCCGCCCCACCCGGGGCTCCCACCCACTGCACCTGGGACGGCCCCAGGGAATGTCTGCACCACCCTCGGTGGCCCGACCGCCGGCTCCCACCCCCACCAGGTTACCTGCGCCCGCCCGAGTCTGGGCCTGCTCGCCCCCCACCCCCCACCGGCCTGCCCGCTCAGAACCAGAACCCGCCCTGGCGTCTGCAACACTCAGCAAAAGCCCAAGTCCTAGCCATGACCCACAAGGCTCTGCGGATCTGCCCCGCTCCCTCTAGTCACACTGGCCGCCTCATCTTTCCTTGAACCCACGGCCAACATCAGGGCCTTTGCACTGGCTGTTTCTGCAGCCTGGAAAGCTCTCCTTCCGGATTTTCCCCCCCCCCCCCCCGTACCACTTACTCCCTCGCATCCTTACCATCTTGGCTCAAATGTCACTTTACAGATGAGGACCCCCCGACCACCCTGCTGAAGATGGCAATCCCCCCTTACTCTTGCCTTGTGTCACCTTGCTCCTCAGCACTCATTACCTGCCAACATCTGGTGACAATTATTTACTGTGTTTTCCACCTGTCCCCCTCCCAGGATACTGGCTCCATGGAGGTGGGGATCTGCTCACTCTTGTGTCTCACACACAAGCACACAATAAAGACTCAGGAAACAGCTGCTGGATGAATAAACTGAAATACTGGATGGGGGTCTCAGGCTCCGCCTCCTCCCTGGAGCTGCCCTCAGTGAAACTCGGGTGCCCTCCCCTGCCCAGCAATCTCCTCGAGCCACCTCTGCCCCTAGCTGAGGCCTGCTCACTGACCCTGTTTTTCCCTCCCTCTCTGCTACCCAGTCCTGACTACTTTCACTTCTAGAAGTCTCTCCAATTCGCTCCACGCAGAGCGCTGCTCCCGGACCACTCCCGAGGCCCCTTCAGCTCTGTCTCCAGGCCTGCACACCTCCTTGAGCCTTAGCTCGGTGCCCACCAGCCTCCTGTCCCCCCCTTCCCCAGCTGTTGCTCCCCAGACCTCCTCTTCTGCTGCACCCCAAGCTCAGATGGTGCCCCTTCTCATTCCCCCTCTCGCTTAGGTCCCCACTGGACCCCACCTCACATGGCATGGCCCTGTCTGCTCTCCAGCCCTGCTTGGCTCCATCACCTCCCCTGGCTCTCAGCAGTGCCTGATCAATCCAGAGCCACTGACTGAGCCGAGAGGTGAGACCACTTTCCATCGCTGCTCCCCCAAGCCAGACTCAGAAGCTGCCAGTCTTTTTGAAATATCCACATCTGTCTGCAGCCCTCTCTGCCATCCCAGCCTGGAGTGTCTGGGTTCAGATGGGAACCCTGACCCTTGCCCCAAGCTGCCCAGATGGCACCAAGGCCCCATGAGGACCTGGGTCCCACTTCCCTCTCCCAACTCTGGGTCCTAGGCAGATGCTAGCCCTCATGGTTCCCCAAATGCACCAGCTCGCTCTTGACTCGTGGCCTCTGCACAGGCTGTTCCTTCCACCTGGAACTCTCTTCCCCTCACTCCACCTACTTTGTCTCCAGGTCTCGACTTCAACAGAGCCTCCCCCAAGAGCCCCCATGCCGCATCACTGTGCTCCAAAGGCCCCTTCATGATCCCCAGGTGACATGATAACATGCTGGAGGACAATCTCAGGGCCCCAAATGTGGGGTCATACCCACAGCCACCAGAGTAAAGGATGGGTGTCCTTGGGTCAATCCCCTAACCTCTAGGGACCTCCGTTTCCTCATCTGTCAAAGGCGACAACCGCACCAACCTCACAGGGTGGCACCAGGAGAAGCAAAGGAGATGAGAAGTTAAAGTCAACAGTCCAGAGCCGTGCTGGACGCTCAGCAAGCCCCATTCCCGTGCTGGCGACTGCCATTACCATTGAAGGGGACAATCTCTCTCTCTCTGGGGACGATTCTGGGGCTCAAACAAGAAAATGTACTTCAAGTGTTTAGATCGATTTCCAGCCCTGAGTAAATGCTCAATAACTGGGAGTGGTTGTTACTGCACAGTCAGGTCACCCAGCTCCGCCACTTACTGGCAACGTGACCTTGGCTAAGACACTTACTTAAAACTCTCCCAAGCCTCGACGTTCCTCTTTGGGAATGGGGCCTCAGGAGTTCCTCCCAGGAAACTGCTTGCAACCCAGTACTCAGTACCGAACGTGTTCCACTGTTATCACCATCATCATGGCCACTGCCACCAGAATGGTCTCCCAACTCACTTCTGGGCCTTCCCTGAGGCCGGTATCTCCTGGTTCCAGCACAGAGCCAGGCCTGCGGTGGGTGGGACTTGGGAAACCTGGAGTCTTCACTCACGCCCCACAGGACTGCTAGAGTCAGTCGCGAGTCTCACTTTGCCCATGTGGATAAAGGTCGAGAAGGCCCTTGCCTCGTGGAGACAAGAGAAAGAGGCCCTGGGCTCTGCCACTTTCCCTTCTCCACGATGGGCTTGTGTTGCCCTGGAGGCTCCCTGCGGCCTTGTGAGGGGCTCTCTGGGGTTGGCACTATCACTGGCCTCAGGGGGCAGCAGGAACCTACCACCCTGCTGGTTCCTGCTGGGCGGCCACCCAGCTTTTCTCAGTGTCCTCTGAGTGGCCGCCAGGGAGACTGAAGCTAAATAAAGGCCTCCCAGAGCCTGCCCAGCTCGGGCTTTACACCTCTGGGAGGGGTGGCTTGAGCAGACGCCCCAGCAGGGAGCGGGGGTCCCCACCCCCCCCTGCCTTACAGATAGAAAACCTGAGGCTCGGGGCGCCTGGGTGGCTCAGCTGTTAAGCGTCTGCCTTCAGCTCAGGTCATGATCCCAGGGTCCTGGGATCGAGCCCCGCATCGGGCTCCCTGCTCGGCGGGAAGCCTGCTTCTCCCTCTCCCACTCCCCCTGCTTGTGTTCCCTCTCTCGCTGTGTCTCTCTCTGTCACATAAGTAAAACCTTAAAAAAGAAAAAGAAAGAAAGAAACCCTGAGGCTCCCAGAACCTCAGCGCCATCCAGTTCGACTAAAGGAATCACAAGAAACCAGTAACATCAGCTCTATCAGGACAGGGAGCAGGGGCCTGGGAGACTCCCTGGTCCCTTTCTGGTACCTCTGGAATTTTTCTTTCCCAGCACAGATTACCTGAATAATAACCATAATAACAACTAAAGTTTACAGAGAGCTTATCACATGCCAGATGCCATCTAACCCAAAGACATCACACACATTAAATAAATCAGATAACCCCTCAGAAGAACTCTATCGGATAGATACCCTTAATATTTATTCCCGGCTCATCAAAAACTAATGATGTAATATATGGTGATTAACATAACAATAAAAAAATTAAAAAAAAAATTTATTCCCGGCTGGGGAAACCGAGAAACATAGAGATCAAACAAGTCGCTGGAGGTCATCCATTAAGTCAGTGATTCCGGAGCCAGGACCAAACCTAGGTGTGCAGGCCTGTGCTCAGAAGCTCACCAGGCTACCTTCTTATTAATCCCACCTCACGCTCCCATATGCTTACTCCCTCCCAGGCCCTGAGCCAATTTCCTGTCGGGCCTAATCTCATCTCATTCTCAGGATGGTCTCTAGGGGCAGGGAGTAAAAGCAGTATGTGGTAGGGTTGGGATTAGAACCCAAGCTTGCCGAACCGAAGCTGGTGCTGGAGATGCTCATCTTCCCTCCCCCATCCCCACCCTCACTAGGCTCCACTACAGCCCCAGGGTCCTCAGCAGGACAGGAAAGGGTTCTGTGCCAGGAGGGAGGAAGGCGTGGTGGGGAGGACTCTGCAGGAGACAGGGCACTGGCTTCCCACCCAGCAGGACCAAAATGTTCTCCAGACAGCTGTATAGATTAACCTCTTTATGTGACAGAAGTAGGTGTTCCCAAGAATAATCTTTTTAGAGCTCTGCGCAGGTCTCAAACATTTCATAATAAAATGTTACACACGGCAAGAAATGGAAGTGCTAGAACTTTCTTCTTACACTCAGTGGCTTGCCTGGCAGGTATGCTACCCAAGAGATTGCTGCTTTACGGTAAGGGTTGGAACTGGGACTGGAGACCAGATGCAGGGACTAGACAACACAGGACCGGGGAAGGGCCCTTCTTGGAGGTTCTGGGTAAATGACTGGGAGTTGCCATATGCGAGGGTGGGGCGAAGAATTCCTAACTGGAAGGTTCTGTGAGATAGCTCGCCCTCAGTGTGAGAGTATAACATACACATGTGGGTGTAGGAGCTCTGATTTGGGGGAGCAAGAGGTTAGAGTAGTAGGATTTATGAGAGCTCTTCTGCTGGCCTGTGAGCACTGCTGGGCAGGGAGAGAGGCTGGAGGGTTCTGGGATCTGGATTTGGGGGCAAAGAGGTAACAGAAGGGGCAGTAAATCTGGAATCAAATTGGGAGGGTCCCTAGTGAGAGCAGGGACAGTCTGGGTGTCTGAGAGCAGCAGACTGAGCTGGGGTCAGGAGAAAGGCCGGGTGGGTTTGGGTGCTGGACTGGAGTTGGTATAAGACCTTCCAAGGCTGCCAGAGGCTCCTACAGGAAACTGTTGGGGGTGGGTAGTGCCTGGCCTGCAATACCAAGGAGGGGCAGGGGCTCTAGACCGGCCGGAAGCCCTGCAGGGTAGGGTTTCCTGGTATAATGGGAAATGGGGTCCACAGTAGGTGACGCTAAAGAGTGGCTGGAATTGGAAGGCTCCGTCAGGGTCGAACCGGTGGTTTGGTCTGGAGGGAAAATGGGTTCCAAAACTCCAGTCCTGAATGAGAATGAAGGCCCTGGTGGAGCACCGGTCTATATTCTAGGGAAGGGGTCCCCGGTATCGGTTGGACTCCCAAGCCAGCAACAGAAATCTCAGGGGAGGGCAGAGTTCCTTGTTCTGTTGGGAGGAAGATCTCAGAATAAATTCAAAGTACTGAGGACTCTAGGATTTGGGGAGTGGCGGATGGTACATCCAAGATCAGAAATGCCTCCCGGGATAGGATCAGGGTCCAGACTCCGAGGCAGAGTTTTGTATGTAAGTGGAAGGTCCCAGAAGGGATTGAGAGAACACCCCCAAAGCTTATCTTAGCAACTTAGACTCGGAGAAAGGTGCCCTAGGGGTCAACTGGGAGTTCCATGCAGAAATCGGAGGGGAGGCCCGGGATCTCTGGTAGGGACTCAGCGCCCTGGCAGTTCTGGGCTCTGGAGTTGAATCGAGGAACCCCTCAAGCGATACTGAAAGTCCAGACTACGCGTTGGGAACCCCAGGTGTCAATGTGGGGGTCCCTGGCAGTACCAGGGGTCAGAACTCTGGAGCGGAGTCCCGGGCGGGGGGGGCGGGGGGGCAGGGGATGGGCACGCGCATTCTACCTGGTGCCGCCAGCGGAAGAGGCTGGCCGTGTCGATGTTGGGGTGCGTCTCGTCCTCATCGTCAGACACCTCGATGTGGTCCCACACGCTATAGTCCACCATCTTGCCTCGGCGGCTCAGCCCGCTCCGGCTCCGGGTCTGACTCTGGCGGCGGCAGCGCTAGAGACTCGGCCTGCGGAGCCCCGCCCCTTCCGCTTCCTCCCTGGCGCGCACGTTCCCCGCCCGCGCATGACGTTATATCCCTAGTAACCGCGGTGGCGGCAGTGGCGACCCGGCTTGCCTTAAAGGGTCAGGCGCACGTGTTCCGGCCCCTGGGAGTCCCCGTAAAGACCCCGCCTCATTGGGCGCGGGGTCTCCGCTGGGCACCTCCTGGAGGTATACAGGCTGGCGTTCCAACCTCGAGCCCCCCTCATCTCCCGCTGCCCCCCGGTGGGCGTTTGCGGCGGACGCTAGGGGCGGGGCAGGTGGCGAGACTGAAGCAGGGGATTGTCCCCTTAGCCCCGCCGCAGTGACGTCAGCCCGAGCCTACTGCAGGGGCGGGCTTCGGCGGGAAGACCTCTCCCCCTGCCCCGGGAAAAAAGGACCTAACCCTACGCTGGGGAGGGGTGTCTGATCAGAGCATTTTCCCAGTCTTAGGGGTACAGGACCCTGCCCTGGAAAGGTCTAAGTGGAGGAGGGATATGGCCCTGCCCTTGGGGGGTCGGATGTGGGGGCGATGTGGTCCTGCCTTGGGACCTGGTGTTTCCCTGGCTCGGCCCACAGCCTCCCCCTCACGTCACCATCCTCTGCCATTCCTGAGCCGGGATTCGCGCACACACGCCCCGTCTAAAATTACCCGGACCCTCCCCCCGCACCCAAGGCAACGGATCGCGCGCTCTTGTCCGCGGCGTCTCCCCGTGCGGTCGCTGGGTGTCGCTAATGTCTAGCCAAAGGCCTGTGCTTCAGCCGCAAGCAGCCGGGGGACGGGAAGGGGATCGTGGAGGTGCGGATGGAAGCTTTCCTCGTGGTGGTACTCTAGAATCGTTCGTAGCCCCTCCCCTTCGGTCTGCAGCCCCCTTAGTTGGCCGGGACTCTAAAGACTCCATTACTGCGAGTTTGGGCGAACCCAGCTGCACACTTGCGTGCATCGCAACCTTCGTTTTGATACTGGGATAAAAGGCCGTGTTGCAGCCTAGGGCCAGGATTATCTCAGATTAAAGGGCGTTCCGTGGGGGCGGGTGGGATGGGAGGTGCTCCGGCCCCTCGAGTGAGGGGCGCTTTCCCCCGGACTAGTGTTTGCGAGGGTGTTTGGAGAGAGGGGCTGGAGGGAATGGATTAAAAGACTCGAGATGGGGGGATTCCCCTGCCCAGGGAAGGGGAGGGGCCATCCAGACAAAAGCGCCCGCCCGCTGCCTCCCCTCCCCCTCGAGCATCTTTCAAACCCGCGAGTGGGCGGGCGGGGACGGGGGAGTCCCCTCCCCTCCCCCTCCCCCTGCTGGCCAGGCTGTCCAGCATCTCAGCGGCCGTCAAGGCCCGGGCACGCGCGCGCACGGACCCACACCCCAGCGGGTCTCACAGTCGCGCACACACACATACACACACAACAGCAAACAAAGGGTCTGGACACCCCTGTCCCCTCCCGCCCCTCAGGTCGGAGAGGGCGGGGCATCCCCTCCCCAGCCCCTCTGCAAGGTAAGCTTCGGGGCTGCGAGCTGCGGTGGGGAAGGGGACCCGGCACCCCGGAGGGAGGGGACCAAGACGCTGTGGGGTTCCCCCGCTCCCCAAGAAAGCCGGGGCTCACCGGTACGCCCTCTGAGGGCTTCAGGCCGGCCTCCGGGCTGGGGGTGTGCGGGGAGGACCCCAGATGCCAGAGATTCCCGGGTTTCCGCGGAGGTCTTTCCCTGGCTTCCGAGACTGGAGCCGACGGGCCCCTGTGAAACGGGGTCCTGGGAGCCTGAGCTCCCAGAATTGGGGACAGGGCGCCGGAAGCTTCCCCATCAGCGCCAAGACTTTCCTAATCTGCCAGCACAGCATGTCCACCTGGGTATTGAGACAGCCCTCTGAGTCGCTTTGCACCGACCCTCGGTTTCTCACACCACCACCATCGGCGCATCTTCTGCTGTGTCTCGCGTACCTGTGAGGTGGGGGTGGGCGGCTGCTAGGGGTGCTCTGGACTACCCAAGGTTTCTCTGCGGCATCCCACAGCCACACACTACTTAGCGGCGGTGGGACCCCGGCATGGGCTCTGCCTCCCTGAGCCTCAATTTCCTCTTCTGCAAAGTGGGTAACGACACCGAGGATTCCCTGAGGTCACGCATGTGAGCCTGCCTTTGCTCGGTCAATTAATTTCTTAGCTCATTTCACACATATTTCCAAGTGCCTACTATGTGCCCCAGCACTGCAGCCAGGTGGTGGGGCTATAGCAACCAGCAAAAACAGCCGGCTGTTTGCTGTGCTTATACCTAAGGCTGGTGAGGGAGCAAGATTAGTGTGTAAATCGAGGAATACCCACTGGTGATTTGAGACTGTAAAGACTAAAATCTCATAGGGCATAGAGAGTGACTGGGGGTAAGGGTGCCCGAGATGGAATGGGATTTCTGGTTGGTATCTGCCTTATTCATTCCCGTCATTTAGCTGAGGGAGGGCCAGGGCCAGAACAGTGCCTGGCACACGGTAGGTGCTCAATAAATGTTGAATGAATTAGGGTATTAGATCAAGACTAATTTCATAGTACTTTAGGTCAGGAAGGAAGCTTATCATGAGCCAATCCATCCTCCCTCCCATTGTACAGATGGGGTAAGTGAGTCCCTAAGACCTTGTCAAAAAGTCCCTAAGAGCTTGTCAAAGGCAATACAGGGAGTTGATGGAGTATCATTATTCCCATAAAGTGAGCATGGCTGAAGGAAGGGGAAAGGAAGAAAGTGAAGACCAGATTTGAGCACAGCGCCGCTCCCCCCCCCCCCCGCCCCAGGAACCAACGACGCGCAGCCAGCTCTCGCCTCTCTATACCACAGACACAGCCCTACTGTGATGAACATCTACTCAACGAGCATTTATTCAGCACCTACTACTATATGCCAGTTGCTGGGGACAGCAGGGCATAGAACAGAACTCTCTGCTCCCACAGAGGTGCCATGTAATGGAGAAGACAGAAAAAGAAACAACACAAACAAATAAATATATAACAGATTATGATTAGGACTATGATAGAAATAGAAGGCTGTGTCAAAAGAGCAAAATGGAAGGGCCCACTTCAGGTTGGATATCCAGGAGGACCTCCTGGAGGAGTTGAATACTCTTCAAACACACACACACACTTGCACCAAAAACTAATGATGTAATATATGGTGATTAACATAACAATAAAAAAAATTAAAACCCCCCCCCACACACACACTTAAATCCAGACGGACATAATCATACTAAACAAACACCGTATATGAGGCACGTCAAGTCTCATTCCTACATAGGTATGGTCTGGTTTCAGCTGTGTAACACTCACAGACTCACAGAAAGTTCCACCTGCTCGGCGGCACACGGACAGCTGTGTATACTCTCATGCACACACACATGCATATACACACACATGCCTGGGGCCCCTGATTATCCTTCCTCGCCCTGCTTTAGCTCCAGGCATAGAGCTAGTTAGTAACTATTCCTTCTCAGGCCTGAATGCTCAGGACCAAGGTGTGGATAAGGGCATTTATCCTTACCTCCCTCCCTCTTGTTGGCCATCCAGCCTGGCATCCTTCTTCTGAGGGTGGTGGCTTGGGTGAAGCCAGTGCTTTACTGACAAGCCAGGCCAGGGGCTCCCAGGCTGGGCCACTGGCTGATTGAGCTGACAAGCTGGGGTAAGCGAGACCGCCTCTCTCTGTGCCTGAGCCTGGTGGGCCTTGTGAGGATGAAGTGAAGAGCTGCCCAGAGCAGCCTGCTCTGCCATCCGGACCCCCCTCCCCAGCCGGCCTGCTGCCCAGGGAAAGGGAAGGCAGGCTTAGAGGCACCCCTCTACCTTGGGCACTCAGGCCAGTTCGTGATGCCCTGCCTTCCAAGCCTGGGGTTCTGCCAAGGCTGATTTCTGCAAACGTGCACAGGTGTCCGGACAGCGGCGGTGTGTGTGTGTCTCTGCCCCTCTTTCCTGGATTGCAGGCCTCTGCCAGGCCATCCACTCCTCCATTCCTTCCTTTATTCTGCAAATCCACAGGCTGTTCCAGGCACTGGGGATCTGGCTACAGAAGTTGAAGAGCCCAGGGCAAGGGGAACATGCAGGGCCCTTGATCAAAGTAATGAAGCATTTCAAGACAAGGGCAGGGTGTTAAACCTTCTAAGCACGGGGCTGTGAGGACTGCACAGGTCACATGTCTGTGAAGTTGGTTCTCGGTATAGCTAAAATCGGACTGAAAAATCCCCTGCCCTCGTGGAACTCAGGCTGCAGACAGCAGAAATGTAAATATATGATATGTCAAGGATGTTGACAGTTGAGAGGAAAGATAAAGCTGAGTGAGGGTGATGGGGTGGAGGGAAGCATCTGTTATCAGGTAAGCCCTCTGGAATGAGGTGCCTTTGAGCAGAGGCCTGAGGAGGTAAGGGTGTCAACTCAATTTATTCGTTCTTTCAAGAGATATATATGTTGAGCGCCTACTGTATGCCGGCATTGTCCTAGGACTGGAGAGCCAGCTGGAGACAGAACAGATCAACATCCTGACCTCAAGTCCTAATCAAATGATGAGCAACAGCTGATAAAAATAGTAGGCACATTCTTTTTTTTTTTTTTTAAAGATTTTATTTATTTATTTGACAGAGAGAGGGACACAGCAGAGCAGGAACACAAGCAGGGGGAGTGGGAGAGGGAGAAGCAGGCTTCCTGCCGAGCAGGGAGCCCGATGTGGGACTCGATCCCAGGACCCTGGGATCATGACCTGAGCTGAAGGCAGACGCTTAACGACTGAGCCACCCAGGCGCCCAGTAGGCACATTCTTTATCTTGTTAGAATGTTATAAGTCTAAGAGAAACAAACAAACTGAAAGCAGAGTCAAGGAGATCAGGAAGTGGGAGGAACACGGTATCTGAGACTCGTTTTTTGGGTCAATGAGAACTGCAAGTACAAAGGCCCTGAGGTCTGAATATGCTTGAAGTCTTTGCAGAACAGAGTCAGCTGGTGAGTCAAGGGGGAGGATGGGAGGACGGTGAGGTTTCTGTGAATGTGTTGCTGTC